CAAACTCCTCTTCCATGGCAGCATCTAGAATCTCTCTTCATTTCATTTTAGCAGGATTTCTTAGATTCAGTATCATACAGTGTGAATATTTTTGAAAAAATTTTTCTCTTAAATATTTAAACATTTCACTCCAAATCTTGTTGCAAGTTATTAAATTGGATTAAATATTTTACTGTAAAAGATTTTTTTACAGTAAAAGATTTCCTAAATGAAGTATTAGCCAAGTGCATATCTAAATTTTCCTAAATTCAAAATTACTGGCTTCAAAATGAATAATGTCTCACTTCAAAGTTATTCTTTATTTCTCTATTTACTCATTCACATCTTTCTGCATGTATACAGTTTTGCAATATTTTTACTCACTGGAAACTTTAGCTATGGTAGTACCATAGTAAAATTTATTCTACATAAAATAACAAAGACTCTATTATATATCAGCTTTGTGTACTAGAAGCCAAGAGATTTTATGTATAGCCGTATTTTGATTCTATCATTATAATCTTGAGCACATCCCTTAACTTCATTCATCTATAAAAGGGAGTAGGAGTTGGGAAAGTTTAGATTAGATGATATTTTGTTTTCCTTCCAGATTTAATAATGTATAAATCCTTGAATTCAGTGATTCTCTCTTCTATACCCCTTAAATAACATTTCTACTTTCAATTTTTTTCATTAAAGAAACGTTTTTCCTAGTTATATAGAACTGCAGTTTTAAAAATTAACATCTCAATTTAAATTTATTTTATTATTAACTTTTTGGGGTGACATTGGTCAACATGATCATATAGGTTTCAGGTGTGCATTTTTATGTTATAAGATCTGTATATTTCACCGTGTGCCCACCACCCAAAGTCAATTGAATTGAATAAATTAACTACATTACATACTGTAACCTTTGAGCAAGGAATGGCCCACTTTCCTTTAAAAAGAAATCCTCTCGAAGCACAGACATCTGAGAAGAAAGACATTTGCCTGGCCAGTCAGATTATATATCAGCCTTTATGGTCAGTGAGTGACAGAAGTATTAGTAATAGTAGTACTAACCTTTCATTTGCTCTCATCTGAGATACGTGTTACTCCTTCAGAAGACTTAATATTTCAAGTGTAACAAAAGATCTAGCTACTATTTGGGTGGGGAAAGAATAAGAGGCAATTATCTGAGATTCCAGGTCTTTCTTAAACATTGGATTACCCTGACAAGGGGAAGACTGAACAAGGAGAGGATATTTTTCCTTGCCAACAACTTTTAAGTTGGAAAGAAAAGAGTCAAGACATTTGTAAGAGATCCAGGGGCAACAGAAATTTCAATATAATTTCTTGTACCACAAGTGAGCATTCAAACTGCAAGAGATTTTATTCAGTGCAAGTCAGAAAGGACAAGTAAAAGGACAATACTGAAATCCAGGAAATATATAGGACTCCAGCCTCCATTTCCCAGCATCAACTTCTGTGATGAAGGGACATAAATAGAAATGCAATGGAGGAATACAAGAATAGACTAGGAATGCACCCAAGAGGAAGAGGACCTGACGTATGAAGAACTTTACCAGTAGTTTGTACTTTCTGCAAGGAAATAAAGAGTTCAGTCCCCACAGAGATTTTGGCAACCAGTATTTTGTCAAATTTTTGGGTTCAGTTTTAAAAATGTAAAGAATATCCTAAAGTATGGGCACAATCTGAATAGGAAACATGAATTGGTGCAAAAATTTAATACTCTATATATATTTTCAGCATATAAAAGATTTTTTTAAATATTAGATAATATATATAAATGTAATGCTAGTTCTTCTGAAAACATTTTGAAGAACATTGCAAAAATGCTAGAGTCACTTCTAAATTAAAAATTCTAAACTTGATATGAATTTAGAATTTGAACAGGTTATAAGTACCTTGGTGAGAGACTGGATGTTGACAGAAATGTAAAGATATTTGTTGAAGTGAAAACAATACTGGGAATAAACATTTGAAATTTAAAGGTTCCCTTCCAAAGAGTCCAGTGGACAAATCAGTATAATGTAGAAGTTTACATGGTAACTTTATGCTAATGTTTACAGTTGCTTATATATAGTAGGTAAATCTGAAATTGGCAAAATGGAACATCCAAAGATGTTTTTCACAAAATTCAATATTTTTATTTTTATATAAATTAACTTCATCTTTTTGTTAGATCTAGCAGGTTAATGAGTTTACAGGGGTAGGCAAAACAGTTGTGAGTACTCAAAGAGTTTATTCTTGTATTATTATTATTTATTAACTAGAGGCCTGATACATGAAATTTGTGCATGGGTAGGATCCCTAGGCCTGACCAGCGATCAGGGCCAATCTGTGAGGTGATGGGCAGGGCAATCCAGGGAGGCCCCACAGGCACCCACCTTGGCTGGCCTGGAGCCTGCAGCCTGGAGCTCCTGCATTGAGTGTCTGCCCCCTGGAGGTCATCATAGCAACTGGTCATTCTGCCATTTGGTCAATTTGCATATTAGGCTTTTATTATATAGGATTATTGTATTGTATATTTAAATTACAACTACAAACCTACTTTTCCCCACCTCTGAATATTAGTTTTGTCACATTTTGGAGCCAAATGAACTCTCAGAAGTGTCTTTGCCTTAGTCAGGCACCTGATAATTGCATTATTCTAATATAGTCCAACTGAAACAAAGTATTTGGAATAAGAATCGAGAAAGCACTCAATAAAAACCCTGTGCACTTTTATATCAGTGCCAAAGTGAGGGTTTAACCTGTGTTGTTATATAACTTAATCTGTGTTATTGTGGGCATAGCAGATATGTTATTTAGAATATTGTTGGAATGAAATTGAGAAAGGTACCTTAGAGTAAATTTCTATTTGGCTTATTTCAAATTTTGTGAAAATATTAAAAATAACAAGATGTATTTTGATTGAAATTTTAAGTCTTATTTTAGGTTCAGCTTGGATAATTAGCAAATGCTCTAGTTTGGTAGGAATTTTTAAATTATTTTACTAGTTTGTAAAGGATAGACAGTGGAAATTTTCTCCTCTAACCCCTGTCCTCCAACTACACATTAACCCTCCAAGAGTTAAGCACTGTTACTGAGTTTTGGAGTACCCTTGAAGAAATGCTCTATGCTTTTATGACTATATCATGTTTAGCCCCCCCCCCTTTTTTTTTTAACAAGTGGTAACATGGTACCACCTAGTTGTATACCTTGCATTGTTTCACACAATAAATCTTAGAGATTGGATATGTTTAGAACTCAGTAGGATTAAGAATCCAACTGCCTCATTCTTTTTGGTGGTTTCTGTTTCATTGAATACATATAATTTACTTCAGTGTTTCCTCATTAATGAAGATTTAGTTCATCAATCCAGTGAAGATCCTTATATGTATATTATTTTATACTGGTCTGATATATCTGTAGGATAAATTCTTATATGTGAGATTACTAGATCAAAAATAGTTGTGCTATCACATGATCTCACTCACTTGTGGATTATAATGAACAAAATAAACTGATGAACAAAAACAGATCTAGAGACAAAGAAGCATTGGTCAGATGCTCAAACCTCAGAGGGAAGGTAGGGAGGGTGGGGGCGAGGGGGGCAAATCAACCAAAGGACTTGTATGCATGCATATAAGCATAAGAGATGGACACAGACAACAGGAGGTGAGGATGAGGGCAGGTCTGGGTGAGGGGGTATGAGGGGACAATGGAGGGAATAAGGACACATTTGTAATACCTTAATCAATAAGGAAATAAAATGGAAAAAAAATAGTTGTGCCTTTCATTTTGGTAAGATTTTTTTTAAATATATTTTTATTGATTTTAGAGAGAGAGGAAGGGAGAGGGAGAGAGAGATAGAAACATCAATGATGGGAGAGAATCATCAATCTGCTGCCTCCTGCATCCCCCTTACTGGAGATCCAACCTGCAACCTGAGCATGTGCCCTGACCAGGAATCGAACTATGATCTCCTGTTCATGGTTTGATGCTGAACCAGTGAGTTACACTGGCTGGGCTGATAAGATTTTGCCAAATTACTGTACATGGAGGTGGTATTAGTTATATCCTTACAAGGAATTATGAGAGTGGTAATTGTAGTAATTATCAGGAAAAAAATACTCTTCATTATGTGACTACAAATGATTTCTAGACCATATTTATAGTAATATAAAAGCTACTGCTTCCTTCTCTTGATTCTTTAATGTTGATGATCTCACATCTGGTATCCAATGTCCTATAAAGCAATTACAGAAACAAAAGTGCAAAGATATTACATAACTTGACAGAGGTGGTAACTGACAGGATACAGTGGTTGGGAAGCTGGAGCCTGTGACTGAACCATGAGACTTTCATGTCCCTTTTGCGCATTTAAAGTTTTTCAATTGTATTATATACATTTCTTGAGTTGGTATCCATACTCTCATTGCAAATAGTCTTTCTCTTTCTTGTGTCTTTTTGTACTATTTTTTACAGATGAGACAGACTAAAATAGAAAAATTTTATTTATTTTGCTTTTGCACTGAGAAACACCTAGATATTAGCACCAAGTTGAAATTATCTTTTATGACAGTTTTCATATTATAAATAAATATATAGCAATTTTTTTCATTTTAAAATTGATGAACTTTAATTCCAAAATATGCACAAGTTCCTAAGAAACATTTATATGTTTGAATGTTAAAAAAAAAAAAAAAAAAAAATAGCTCCCTGTGGTTCTTTCAGCAAACTGCTGAGACTCCACATGCGTGCAAGTGGCTGCATTCTCCTGTACCTTGACGCAGGCCTAGGCGAAATATTGTGAGCATAGCAATTGTATTTGGTAGGTCTGCTCGGAAGGGGTCATGTGCAAGTCATCTTTGTTCGTGGAATTTTTTTAGATGTAGTGTATGGCAGCAGTGATGTGCATCCTAAGGGGGAAAAATGTTCATTTTTATAAAAATTTATTTTCATATTTTATACACTGTAGTTCTGTTGTGTGTTTTTGATTTAGTAACAATTTATGTGTTTTTCTGTCGCAGAGCACTGCGGCCTGTGGTGTTGAGGCTCACAGCGATGCCATCCAGCCCTGCCACATCAGAGAGGCCATTCGGCGCTACGGCCACAAGATTGGCCCCCTTTCCCCATTCACAGTACGTAATAACAGAGTTATAAAAAGTTATATTTATAATCTGAAAGAATTTTGATTTTCAAGTGGTCAAATGAAGAAGCAATGGAATTGTTGAAAGCAATTTGTGGTGACTGTAATTTTGTTGTATAAAAGTGCCATAATTCTCTTGGGAAATAAAAGTTAGTCATTTCTGTCTCTTTTTGGAAGGACAATTTTTTTTCTTCAAAATATTATTTTCTTTCAATCACAAATTATGCTTTTTTCATTGGAGCTTATATTTTCTATTTTTCAAAGCTTAGGTTTATAAAACATTTTTTGTCTAATTATATGTATCCAAATATTGCTAGAAGCACTTTATATTTTAAAATTGGTTGGATCGGCAATACCACTTCTATCAGATGTCCTCCTGCTCCTAAACATACTTTGAGTTGGAAGAAGAAGAAATGATTTCTTTTCTGGCTTTGAAGTAGGCTGAAATGCAGACAGTCTTTCACATCTTCAAATGGTTTAAAGCTTGTAATCAGTGTTGGTTGTGTTTGTTTTTAAATAGAGAATTAAAGACTATATTTCAATAGCCTAGAGAGAGAGAGAGAGAAAGAGAGAGAGAGAGAGAGAGAGAGAGAGAGAGAGTTAATTGAATGCTCATCTTGTGGCCCTTTAAAAAAAACAAAAAACTTTATTCATGTTAATAGAACTACCTCCAAATCCTCTGTTTATAATGAATCTGTTTGATTTTCTGAAAGTGAGATTTGATTTGTGACTAAGGAATAGTAGAATGTGCTGTTTCCTTTTTTTCATGTACTTCTGTTTTATTACACTAAAGTGGAATTTCTATATATAATATACATACACATATAAGTATAATATAGAGAGTTTAAGCTAATTTTATCTAATAAGTGTATTGGTTAATATGCTTTTAAAATTAATAATGCCATTTTTAATGCTTAATTTAAATAGATCTGGAAAACAGAACAAATAAGCCATGACCTGGAAGTTTATTTGGCCACTGCCAGAGCAGATGGCTTAAATCAGCAGCCAGGGGTAAAAATCACTCCACCAGGAAGGGGCGCCCAGCTTTATCACTCCTCAGGAAGGACCTAACTTGAAAGGTTCTCTTCATTCCCTAGAGCTATTAGAATTTTCCCAGCCTAAGAGAATAAATATGCCTATTCCACTTTAGACACAGTTTCTATATATCTGCCTTTTTGAGTTCAAAAATTCTCTTTAAAGTGGGAGATCTTTTCAGACCATTTATGCTGACAGTGTGGCCACCTTGCCCTGGCTTTCACATATCTTCACTGCCAAATGGAGGTGCTCCTGATGTTGGAGTGCTGGTGCTCAGTTCCTGATATTGAAGGTGCTGATGCTAGTCCTTGGTGCTGGGATGCTGATGCTCAGTCCCTGAGGCCACTCCCTGAGGTGATATTTTATGTAGCACTAGGAACACTCTGCTATCTGGGCTGCGAGCTGCAGCTCCTAAGAGGAAGGGAGGCGTGTGGGCTGCTTCTACAGTAGCCATTGAGTGAGACCTAAATTTTCATACAGAAAAGCTAATCTAATTTACCTCCTATGTAAAATTCCCTTTGTAAACTAAAGTGCCCGTGAACTAGTTTATATTTATGAAACATAGAGATCTTGACTTTGCAACATATCATTCTGAATCTAGTATGCTTGTCTGATGTATTTATAAATATGATAATCTAACTTAAAGTAGCTATAACTTGACTCGTATGAAGCCAATAATTTGGATTTGATTTGAAGAAGTAAAATAACAGTAGGTTACACAGAAACTTAACTCCAGCATTAATCAGTAAACTGATAAACTGTTTTTAATGAGGCATCATTCTGTACTCTTATGACTTCGGAAATAATTCTATACAAAATCACAACAGGATTTGCTTCAGGAATACAACTCATTGTATAAAGAATTGTGAGTTCTTCACCTTGGGAATTAGTTGACATGATAGAAGAAATGAATGATTAAAGTCATGTTAATTGGAGGAAAGGAGAAAGTACCAATAATATTTCACACTGTGTAACTACTAGAGCAGAAAAGGAGGGACGGGATGTGAACGTCAGTTGCCTGCCACTCATGTGAGTGCAGTGAAGACCCTTGTAAACCATCCCCACTCAACCAATTGTGACAGTGCAGGCATACTTCATTTTCTTGCCCTTCACTCTATTGTATTTTATAGATGGGTTTTTTTTATATATATATTGAAGGATTCCATATGTGAGGTTTTACATATTGAAGGCAAGACCCTTCACCAGTAAGATTACAGCTGACCTGTGGTGATACTCACTCTCCTGTGGTGGTCTAGAACCAAACCCAAAATAGCTCTGAGGGATTCCTGTACTGGTTTTGGCATATTGGTTTTTATTGATTAGTTCTTTCTTTCCTGTATTCCCACTTATTTTCAATTCTGTGCAGAAGATCAGAGAAAGTATCATACCTAGAAGACTTAAGTAATCTTCCTGAGGTTAAGCTATTGATTAGATTAAGTGATGGAATCAAAGCTAAAATTCAGGCCTTCTAAATTCCAGCTTCAAAAACTTTCTCCTAAACCACAGATATTTGCAGTTGTCCTTACCCATATATGCCTGATATTCTGGATGCACATGCTAAAAAATATTGAAAGCGATTAGGAATTCTGAAAATCTCTTCAGGGTTTGTAATTTATAGTAGTTATTTTAGAGTACTTAGGTAATCTAGAATGTCCTAAGTTATTTCAATGTTTGACAACTTATATAGTCCTTTTACTCATAGTGGTTGATATTAAGTGAGCTTAGATTGTGTGATGATGGATTTGATCCTAGAGACAAATGAAAAGGTTTATATACTAGCTCTGCCACCTACTAGTTAAGAAGCTAATGATTTTTATATCATCTTAAAAAATGAGGTCTCAGTAACTAAACATATAAAGTTACTGATAAATTTTTGCATAGCTAGATTTTTACACTAACTCTTATGCAGCAGAAATCTAAAGTACAAATGGCATGGCCTCAAATTTATGAAGCTTCATCAAAATTCAGTTTTTATGAGTTTATAATTTATATAAGTTAATTTAAAAGGTTTTCAGAGACTTATGACTAAATAGAAATTGGTAATAATTTTAAAAATAAATTCTTAGTAGCCTAATTTTCCTCAGTTTTTAAAATTTCTTCATTTTATTGTTTATGAAAGTAGTGTGAGTGTGCTAGAAAATTAATAAAATATAGAGAAGTAAAGGGGGGGAAAAAACTTACATTAAGAAGAGCATCAGGACTCAAACAAGGTGTGGCCAAAACTTTAAGGGAATTGTTCTATTAGAAAACTAATTGATATTTAATTGTTGGAACAGTATTTTCTTTTTGCAGCCTAAAAATTCAAGTACTTTTGCTAGTTGTCTTTTAAAAATAATATTCTAGTGCCCTGGCCGGTGTGGCTCAATTGGTTAGACATTGGCCCATGCACTGAAAGTTTGTCAGTTCAATTCCCAATCAGGGCACATGCCCGGGTTGACGGCTCAATTCTCAGTAGGGGGAGGGCAGAAGGCAGTGAATCTCTCTCTCTCTCTCTCTCTCTCTCTCTCTCTCTCTCTCTCTCTCTCTCTCTCCCTCCCTCCCTCCCTCCCTCCCTCTCTCCCTCCCTCCCTCTTCTTTCATTTCTTTCTAAAAATCAATTTTTAAGAAATCTTTTTAAAAATAGTATTCTCAGAATTTTCTTATGCAGTTTAGATGTAAAAAGCATTTAAAAACTTTGGGAATAAAGTGGATTTTTATAGTTTAGAGCATTTTGTTTTTTTCTCTCAGAGAAAATACCCACAGAGCAACCCAGTATATTGGTTGTCTATCATATGGAAGATGGTAAGACATATGTTTTATCTAGATCCTTGCTATTTACAAGCAGTGGGTGGTGCCCATGGTTACCTACTCCGAAGCTCAATCCCAGCTCTCAATGGGAAGTGCTGTGACTGGCTGATGTAAAACCAGGTCTATAATTCTAAAAGCCAGAAAAAGGAAACTTGTGTTCACTGAGTGACATAACCCTATGTGTAGTGCCTACATCTATTTTTGTTTCTCCTGAGTGATAGAGTAGAAAAATATATTAACCCAGTTCGCTTGCATATTATCAGGTGCTTTCTATTCAACTGGGATAGTGAGAGAGAAAAATTCCTCATTTAAGCGTGCTCATTGACCTAAATACTTTATGTGCATCCCTGGAACTGAGTTGTTTCAATGTCCACTAAGCTATCTAAAATTCTTAGTATTTGGAGCTGGCTAAGGCCTGAGGAAGCTAGTTGGTCTCGGACTCAGAGAAGCTTTGCACTGTACCAGGAGACACCTTGTAGAGGGTGACAGGGTACTCTAGGATCCAGCCTCCAGACTCTCAGTTACTGTTCTTCCACTGTGGCCATTCACTGATGTGTATACATCTGTTACATAGCGACACTCTTGGATCATCGATTATTCAGGTGCTCACAAGAGATAAATAGGATCAAAGGTAGGAAATCTCCTTTAAGAATCTCTCACATTAAACTGTTAAAACAAAAATGGCATAGCAGATTGCTTTGACTGTTTTGATTTAGAATTTCACATTCATAAATAATTTTTTAAATATATTTTATTGATATTTTTACAGAGAAGAAGAGAGAGGGATAGAGAAACATAGATGAGAGGGAAACATTGAATAGGTGCCTCCTGCACACCCCCTACTGGGGATGTGCTCACAACCAAGGTCCATGCCCTTGACTGGAATCGAACCCTGGACCTTCCAGTCCGTAGGCCAATGCTCTATCCACTGAGCCAAACTGGTTTCGGCCATGAATAATTCTTATGTCATGAGCACATTACCATTTGTGTCTTATGGGTTCAACCTGGAAAATATAATGTCACAAAATATTAGAATACTTTTCAAATAATACCAACTAGAAATAGGGTAATAATTCTTAAATATTTGTGTTTTTACTGAGAATAAAAATTTTCTCAGCACATTTTTTGGAAGTACTAAGTCTATCATTATAGATTGGAGCCAAGTACCTT